TAACATGGTAATAACATTTTCATATTCACTCATTAATGAAAAGTTGCTGATCAGATTCAATATGGTTTTAGTTGAAAAATATTAAGTTATGAACAATTTAAGCAATTTATAACGATTCTTCAGTTCTAAACGGACCTGTAATGTGAAAATAGCATACAGATTTTTAATGCATTGTGAGGATTAAAGACCAGCTTGAGTTTAAACTTGACCTTTGAAGTGGAAGCAGTCAGTCAAGTTTACGTTATTTAGTAAACTGATTTCCACTTTAATAAAAATATATGTATATATAACAAACACGATTAATGTAACCATTTTAAAGAAAAAAAGGATGTTTTGTTATAGCTTTTGAAGCAAGGGAGCCGCCATCCAGCAATACCACAGCATGTGACGTCACGGGGTTTTTAAACTTCAAGAAACATTAAAACACAACTAGAAAATTCTTTAATATAGTATGTTCGGTCACAGTGTTGGGGGTAACGCATTACAAGTAACGCGAGTTACGTAATCAGATTACTTTTTTCAAGAAAACGTCTTTAGCCCTTCTTTTATTGCTGTTTGACTCTTTTTCCTACAATTGGGGTAGTTTTTTTCGTTTGCCATTGGTTTGTAAATGTCACACAGTCGGAAACTCGCTTATCTTTCACCATCATCCTCTCCAATAAAGAAGAAAACGAAATCAGCAGCCGCGGCAGGCCGAGCGGACATGGAGGATAACATGGCGATCACTATAAAGCGTTTTGAGGACATTTTGAAAACTGAACTAGCAGCAATGCGCACCGGTTTCGCCTCTCACATGACCACAATCCAGAATATGTGCTCTAAAGTTGACTTCTTAACCGGGGAACATAGAGAGCAGAAAAGAGTGGTCAACGAACACACTAGGCGTTTGGATGCCCTCGAGCAACAAGTGATTGATCTACAAGACCGCAGCAGACGCAGTAATCTCCGGCTGCTAGGGTTACCTGAGGGGGCCGAGAAAGATGACCCAATTGGCTTTCTGAAACGGTCTCTTCCGACCCGGATTCCATCACTAGCGGACAAAGATATCGAGATCGAACGTGCGCATCGAGTTTCAACGCCAGAGCTTCAACTGATCAATCCAAACCGCGAGTGTTTCTTTTCAAACTGTTACGCTACAACGACAGGAATCTGATTCTAAACGAAGCAAGACGCCACGGTGCTGTAAAAACAAATGACGGTGCAATGCTGAGCTTCTTCCCCGACTTCTCTCCCGCGACGGCAAAGAAGCGGAGCTCCTTCACTATAATCCGTAAGGAATTGAAAGAGGCAGGTCTGCAGACCTTTCTTCAGTATCCAGCTACGCTGAAGATCGTCATGAAACACGGCGAGACTAAACTACTGTACTCTCCGGAGGAAGCGCGTCAATTCCTAAGCTCGATTCCCGGTCCTCATTCTTCAAGGATGGACGTGGCAGAAGGGTTTGTCAATACTGAGTGACTCGACTCCTGATTTAATAATCTAGAACTACATGTGATGGTCGTCTACTGGCAGTTTTTTATTTTCATGTAGGCTAAACTAGGAGACATGGTCACTAATTTACAGTTTTCAATGTACATGATGTAATTATTTATGTTTGCTTCCTCTTTATAGAGAGCATAATTTTTGTTTTCTTTTACCCCACTTCATTACTCATGTGAATTTAAAGTTATTCTGTTCTCTTATAATAGGGCTAATGGCGGTGTACTAATGTTGTACAGGCTGTCGTGTTACTGTCACTGACAAAGACAGGGGAGGGCGGCAGCCTGGGGTTTGTTCTTACCCCAGTCTGTAATAGTTCTCTGGGGTGGGCTTCCTTTATGTTACAGGGTTTTTCGGTGGGGGAGGGATGGGTTGAAGGTAGACTTAATATAATTTACTTGCAGTGGTATTACTTTGTCTCATTTTTACATTTCATTTACTTGTTTGATACTTATGACTGAATTGAATATACTAAGTTGTAATGTAAATGGTTTAAATGGCCCCATAAGCGTACAAGTTTTTTAGAATTATTGCGACGAAGAAAGGTTGACATTGCTTTAATCCAGGAATCTCATTTGCGGAAGGTTGATGTTCAGAGATGCAATAATAAATATTACGAGGTGGTCTCTTTCGCCGCGACTAATAATAAAACTAAAGGTGTATTAATAATTGTTAGAAGAAATCTAAATATCTCCATATTAGACAGAAATAGTGATAATGCTGGCAGAATAGCTTGTATAAAAATTGTGGTTGAGAATAGGAAGATATCCTTTCTCTCAGTTTACGCACCATGTAGTCCAGATCCAACTTTTTTTTCTGAATTATCTACCTATCTTACTGATCTAACGGACTTTGAGATATTTTTTTCATTGTTTTGGAGCACACTAGCTTATAGATAAACTTAAGGCTAACATATTCAGAAAAGCCAAAAAAAATTATAATTTTTTATTTCATGGGGACTTTTCAGGGGGAAAAATCTCTCCCAACTATTGCTGTAAACTACACAGATAACCCTCTCACTTGATACATTACTATAATATTAGAGGTTAAAATTAACAAGAGATCCCAACTGCTATTTATTTTCAGATATAACAATCACACTCAGATTAAAAACTTAAATGACGTTTTTTATACAACTCGGTTGCACATATAGTAGTTTTCATAGCTTTGTATAGCTAACTAACGAATCGTGGACACTGGATAGCTTTCCTGAGGTAAATGCAAGGTTAATAAGGCTAACATATTCAGAAAAGCCAAAAAAAATTATAATTTTTGATTTCATGGGGACTTTTCAGGGGGAAAAAATCTCTCCCAACTAATGCTGTAAACTACACAGATAACCCTCTCACTTGATACATTACTATAATATTAGAGGTTAAAATTAACAAGAGATCCCAACTGCTATTTATTTTCAGATATAACAATCACACTCAGATTAAAAACTTAAATGACGTTTTTATACAACTCGGTTGCACATATAGTAGTTTTCATAGCTTTGTATAGCTAACTAACGAATCGTGGACACTGGATAGCTTTCCTGAGTTAAATGCAAGGTTAAGCGACATTGTTCACAAGCTGTTTTATTTGACGTCTTTCTTTCAGTTGAAATGCTGATTGAGTGATTACATGAGACGTGATACATTTCAGTAAGCCTCCTGATGTTCATTCATGTTTATTTTGTGCTGTAACTTGTATTAAAGTGGAAGAGACTCGCTCTCCGGATGGGAGACGCTACAAATAATGTTGAAACACCGTGGAGCTGGCCACCCTGGCTTGAACTACGGGTGATTCATAGGGTCAAATAGAACTAGCGTTAACAGAGTTATTTTTTAATAAGATTGCGTTAATGCATTATTATCAACAGCCCTATAGTCTACCTTAGAGGCGTTTGCAGTCTGACACGTTTGGACCTGATTATGGCTGATTTAAACGATCGGATTGCCGACAGTGCAGAGGATTTATTGGTAGCTAACTAACGAATCGTGGACACTGGATAGCTTTCCTGAGGTAAATGCAAGGTTAAGTGACATTGTTCACAAGCTGTTTTATTTGACGTCTTCCTTTCAGTTGAAATGCTGATTGAGTGATTACATGAGACGTGATACGTTTCAGTAAGCCTCCTGATGTTCATTCATGTTTATTTTGTGCTGTAACTTGTATTAAAGTGGAAGAGACTCGCTCTCCGGATGGGAGACGCTACAAATAATGTTGAAACACCGTGGAGCTGGCCACCCTGGCTTGAACTACGGGTGATTCATAGGGTCAAATGTCTTATAAAGTCATAATCTAAGACTGATAATTTCATCCTATATCTGATATATATCCTATATATTTTTTTTGAGCCTGCAGCAAACCTTCTGAGCCATCACACACTCCTCTTGTGTGAGCACTCGATCCATAACCATAAATAAACGCTCCTTATTAGCAGTAAATCAAAAATATATAAAATACCAAAAATATACAGAATATAGATTGTACTTTTCTCTTCTGTTTTGCATTTGCATTGCTTCTTTAGCTGTGTGCTTCTCCGGTTTACACATTTGGCATTGCGTCACTGCATAACTTTTTTAATATTTTTCATGAAGTTTGAAGTTGCTTGTGTTTTTGCTCATTTTCAAGTTACTTTGGATAAAAGCATATGTTGTATGAATAAATGTAAAACATAAAGGCACTAATGATCATCATTCAATGTACGCCTGCACAAATAGCATCAGAATGTTTGTGAAGATTTTGATCTAATTGTTTTTGAAACACATCTACCAATGGAATGTATGAATGGGAATCAAACTCATTTGTCCAGAATGAGAATAAACAGAAAAATGAGTAGCCAAAATATTTAACTGTATGTAAATTAACTTTAGTTAAATATAAACTACCCCTAACAACTAAACTTTCAGTTTATTGTATTGTATCACTGAAGTATAGTGGTTAAATTATACTGTCAGATCAAAACAACAGTATGTGTTTCACTAAAGTGGTCGTGCCTTTGGTTTGGAGGGAATCAAACTACAAATGTCTTGTCTCTGCACATTAACCTGCCAGTAAGTATTTTAACATTGAAAAATTACCCACATCGCCTCCAGAATTATTATTAAAAGTCACCATATATAAAAATATAAGATTATCAGAGACAAAGGCCACGTACACACTGCAAGTGACAACCGTATTTAAATATGAAGTGAATTCCCTAAATGATCATTTCGTGTGTGTATGTAACTGAACTCACTCGAAACGGCGATGATTGGTGCCGTAACCATTGCAAAGTTCCGGCTTATCTTCTAGGTATCTGCTGTTTTTGGTGAGTTTAACTAAAGAGCCATTGTGTTCCGTTTATGTTCGGAAAGTTGATTTGCAGAGCGTGCTATTGCAGGGTTGCCACGTCCACTTATTTTAAGCGCTTATTAAGCATCATTGCACAGTGGGCTTGGCTCATAAAGCAATCAAGTTTATGAAGTGAATAAAGTAGGCAGGTGCAGGTCGCTATAGTACGTGTATTTCAAAGATAATGGGTTTGGATTTAAGTTTATTATGAGTTTGTTTTTATTTGCTGAATTTATCTGCAGTGTGTTTGGTCATATGGGTCATATTTACCTGAACACTATTATTATCACGTCAAACACTGCAAATATTATACCATCTAGTGGTAAAATTGTGCAAGTACATTTTTGCTTTTTTTTTTTTTTTTAACTGTGTAAGCTGGAGGATCTGGAGTGAAACAGTGAAGACGTGAAGAGGCCTGGACTTGCTGTTACAATTTCCAACACATGTAAATGTACTTTTCTCTACAATCAACAGATGCTATAAATATCATGCACTTTTTCTGCTATTACGGTGGCTATAGAAAAGAATCAGCCCCTTTAAAATAATCAAATTTTGTTGCTTTTCAGCGTGAAATGAAGACAGACTGTTTTTGTTTTAAGTGAAAGATATAACACCAACATGTCACACACACACACACACACACACACACACACACACACATTGGGTTTCTATGTTTTATGGGTTCATTCCATAGACTTGCCCTGCTTTCTCGGGTTTCACAAACCTCCCAGAGTTTCCCTCATTTCAGGGTTAACATACTCAGAGTTTGCACTTAACCTCCTTTCTGAAACGGGCCTCTGCTTGTTTGTCACGGAGGTCAAAGGAAGTCAAACAGCATTTACATGTTTTCAAACAACCATTCAGATTTTTTTTTATTCACTTTGGTTTATCAAATAACGTCAAATATTTAAATATGCCCTATGTTTATTCAAACATTTGTTTACACTTATACATTTTTTTGCATTTTAATCAGGAATAAAACATGCCAGCCTAGAAAACAGATTATTCTGTATTATTATTGATAATAATACTAATACTACTAAATTATTCTCTTTATTTTTCATAACCCATTTTCATAAATTTTTCTGAAAGCAATGGTTAAACTTTTAAATAGTTAAAAAAAAAAAAAAATGTAAAAAGTGCTTAATACATAAATATAGCTTCATATTTGTGTATTGAAAGATACATACTGAGTAGGTTTTGATTGGTAATTTTTTACACCAGGGTTATTATATTTAACTAATATATATATATATATATATATATAAATACATTTTCGTTGCTTGAAATAAAATAAATGTTAACTGAAATAAAATACTTAAACTGTTTTATTTCTGACAAGGCAACATTTCCCATTTTCATTTAGTTTATCTTCATGTTCTAAAATAACTAAAACTGAAATAAAATTTAATAACTATACATAAATTTAAAAACACAAAACTAATAAAAACAACAAAAACAAACAATAAAATTGCTAAAACTTTACATAAAATGAAAATGACAAATAATTCAAATTAGCCTATTAACAAAAACTATAATACCTGAATGATACAAAAATAACATTGCTTCACAATAAGGTGTCAGTGTAAGATATGGGGGGCCCTCTTTTGAAAATCTGTTTAGGGCCCCTAAAATGCTAGGAATGTATTCTTGGGCAATTGGGAATAAAGTTTGCTTCTTTCCATCTAATAAGCCTGCAGTATGATGTTATTGACTGTGCATGTTACAGAGGCAGTCCACTGGCGGTGTGTTGAGCCGGTTCTGATTCGGTCGCGTGTCGTCGTGAGGTGTCCGTGATCACGTGACTCGCACCGCAGCCGAAGGAGAGCAGAGAGCGACTCAAGGAGAACGTCTCATTCGCGCATCTTTATTTGAAAGCATGTATTTCATAGAGAGTGGGAACATAATTGTAAAAGCTGTGTGTTAACGCGCTCGTGTGCCGTATGTGCTGCAGATGATGTGTCACGCGTGAATATGCTACGCTTTATTCTGGACTGCCTGCGGCCGGCACGAGCGCGCGCTGCAGCCGCGACACGGTACACTAATGCGCGCGGCGTTATCTTTACGCATCTAAGTAGCTGCATGCCGTCTTAGTCTTTGAAATGCATTTTAACCGACATCCTTCAAAAATCATCACCACCTTTCACGTCGAGGTTATTCATGCACTGAAGTAATGCCATAATATTTGCATGCTGTGTAGAAGTGTGATTCATCATCCTGACATCATCTGACACATGGGTTGCATAACTTGACTGTACACATCTTGCAGTAATCTCCTGTTTGCATGCGCTTAATTCAGAAAATCGTGCTGAAATCTTGCAGAAGTATTGGCGTTTCGGTTTGCTGCATTATGCATAGCCTATATTGATATATAGCCTACGTGATATATTTTCTTTACATGTTATACTGTTTCAGGGACACGGAGCTTGAGGCTCAGGTCAACACTTCAGACGATAATGAAATCAAGGTACTGGGTTATTTTCTACGCTTGGTGTTGTTCATATGCACAGAGACTGATTTTTTTTCCCAGTTCAACCCATATTCCTTTCATTTGGAGTGAATAGGTTATTTGTCGCAATTTCTTTAACCTTATTGCATCGCGTTTGGTGTGATGTGTCCATTATCATCATGCTTCTATATTTTTATTTTATTTTTCGTGATGTGTGTGTGTGTGTGCGCGCGTGCGTGCATGTGTGTGTGTGTGTGTGTGTGTGTGCGTGTTAGTGTTGGAGATCAGCAACATGTGTGATAGCATAAAGATAGTAGATATACAACGGTAGATGCCCATAGTGCATGATTTGTTTAAAAATCATATATGAGGTAAGAGTTAATTTTGCTCTTGACTCAAAACCCAACCTGCACTGATTCAAATCGTTTTCTTAAAATAATATGTCTTGAGTAAGATATCAGTTAATATTTGTTCAAAATATCAATTTTTCAGCAAAGGTCAAATATATATATTTTTAATAAATAGTTCAACATTTGTTTAAAAAAATACAGGCGTTAAATTAAATGTTTTATTGCCACCACTGTCATTAAAATATAAATAAATTTTAAAAATACAAAAAAAATAAACAAAATAAAGATTCTGAAAGATTTTTACGTCACCTAACAGAGATCCCTTAATTTAATATGGCATTACAGTACTAACACTAAATGCAATATTTGAACAAAAACAGTTTTAGTATAAATATGATGATTATGTCTCAGGAATACACCCATTATCTCAACACGGTTAGACACCATACTGAATTTAACACATATGAAAACAAGACTGTGAGGCTATGCTATTCTAAGAAGTTACCGAGTTTGAGTGCTTTTTGCCCCAAATATCATACTCTTACATTTATTGAAGAGCTGTTGATATAATTACCGAGAACAAAACTGAAAATCATTAAAATGAAGTCTAAAAAAAATTGATAATTTCAGCCATTCTCGTATAAATCAGCTATATAAATCTATAACATGTCTGTCTGCCCACTTTTTCAGTGGCATTGGTTCTTTAAGTACTTTTTCCATTAATTTTCCCCTTAGGGATTAAAAAAATAATAATTGTTAAAGCATTATGAGCCATACAAGGAGAATCACAACATTACAAACGTTGATTTGAAGCAATAAAGTGAATGAAAATCAGACAATAAGACTGTGTAATTTACGTTGTAGAGCAAAACGTCCAAGTATTGTCATATTAAACTGACTACAGACCTTGTTTTCCTCATAAATTGAAAACCCCATTATAAAAACCCATCTTGCGTTGGTGAATTATAAATCTTCCAGGTTTTGACGTCACGTCCGCAGCACTCAGCTTATAGTTTGACAGTTTTAATTAGGACGGCTAAATGTAAACAAACATTGTGACCCACAATCTATGATTACAAATGATTTTCTTCTGCATACAAAGCATGAGTCCCCGGGTGCCCCTGCTGTTTATTTCTAGTCATTAGTGACAGGATCGTGACGCCCCGTCGTGCTTCTGTGTGTTAACTAATGATGGGTCATTCATTACCAGTTCATTCAGTGTGTCTGTCATGCAACAAATGAAGGAAAGACTCGAGGATGTGAACTAATCATTTGTGTTTGGCTGCATTTTAATGATCGAGTGATCAGAGATTGTGACTGCGATTGGGTGTGGTGAATTTGGCTATTGAAAGAATAACATTTGAACTTTAAAAAATGACTTGAATAAAGATGTGTTCGTTTTGCTGAACAAGATCAAGAGAGAGCGAGTGAGTGGAGTGATCTGATCTTCCTTCAGATCCTTCCTTACGTTATGCTGTGCAAGAGTTTCTGTAACTAGCACTGAATACATTTGCATGCAAATGCAAATAACAGGTCAAAAATGACTTCTGTCTGCACTGGCATTAGCTCAGCGATTGCTTATTGAGTGAAGCAACATACACTGCATTCATAGACATCCACAAGCTTTACTGTTCAGCACAAATACTGAACCACAAAACCGTACATAAATAATAATAACTCTTTTAAATGTGAAACATACTGTATTTGCAATGGTTTTGAAGCTTCATGAAGCAGTGCATCAAATGCGCCCATCACTCGCTAATAATGTGGTTTGTTTTTGTTTGATTGTTGGCAGTAAAAGCCCATTTTTTCTGAAGCCCTGCACCTTAAAATGTTTTTATACTCTGCATGCCACTCCTCCAAAATGAGCTTTTCAATAAAGAACGCACCATAGCATTTCGAAGAGTTTTAACTTGGAATGTGTTTAAACTCATTTTGAATTTGTACTAATAATGCATATTATTATTAAAATATTTGATAGAAAATCAGTTTATATACACTGCCGTTCAAAAGTTTGGGGATGAAGTCTCTTCTGCTCATCGAGGTTGCATTTATTTGATCAAAAATACAGAAAATAACAGTAATATTGTGAAACATTATTACAATTTAAAATAACAGTTTTCTATTTTAATATTCTTTAAAATGTAATTTATTCCTGTGATGGTAAAGCTGAATTTTCAGCATCGTTACTTAAGTCTTCAGTGCCACATGATGCTTCAGAAATCATTCTAATATGCTGATTTATTATCAATGTTGGAAACAGTTGAGCTACTTAATAATTTTTTGGAAGCTGTGAAACTTTTTTCAGGATTCTTTGATGAATAAAACGTTTATTCAAAATAGAAATATTTTAGTGTTTAATGTCACTTTTATCAGTTTAACATATCCTTGCTGAATAAAAGTATTAATTTCATTCAAAAAAGAGTGTACTGACCCCAAACTTTTGAACGGTCGTGTATATTGTTACAAAGGATTTCTATTTTTAATAAATGCTGTTCTTTTTAACTTTTTATTTATCAAAGAATCCTGAAAAAATATCACAGGTTCCCAAAAATATTAAGCAGCACAACATGTTTGTGTATTTGGCAATTTCAGAATTGCATCTCTGTATAAAAACACTCCACTTCTAATAAAGTCGTGTCAAATTTCAAATGGGTTGCATCACAACTCAGACTGGTTTGCAAAGCACCTTTTAGCCAGATCTGATGAGGAAAAATATCTGCTTGTTTTGCACAAGACTCTGGGTGCATCCAAGTTTTAGGAATATTTGATTAAAGTTTGCAAGGACATCAGGTGAACATATGCTTATTAATACACTTCAGACGATAATGAAATCAAGGTACTGGGTTATTTTCTACGCTTGGTGTTGTTCATATGCACAGAGACTGATTTTTTTTCCCAGTTCAACCCATATTCCTTTCATTTTTGGAGTGAATAGGTCATTTGTCGCAATTTCTTTAACCTTATTGCATCGCGTTTGGTGTGATGTGTCCATTATCATCATGCTTCTATATTTTTATTTTATTTTTCGTGATGTGTGTGTGTGTGTGCGCGCGTGCGTGCATGTGTGTGTGTGTGTGTGTGTGTGTGCGTGTTAGTGTTGGAGATCAGCAACATGTGTGATAGCATAAAGATAGTAGATATACAACGGTAGATGCCCATAGTGCATGATTTGTTTAAAAATCATATATGAGGTAAGAGTTAATTTTGCTCTTGACTCAAAACCCAACCTGCACTGATTCAAATCGTTTTCTTAAAATAATATGTCTTGAGTAAGATATCAGTTAATATTTGTTCAAAATATCAATTTTTCAGCAAAGGTCAAATATATATATTTTTAATAAATAGTTCAACATTTGTTTAAAAAAATACAGGCGTTAAATTAAATGTTTTATTGCCACCACTGTCATTAAAATATAAATTAATTTTAAAAATACAAAAAAAATAAACAAAATAAAGATTCTGAAAGATTTTTACGTCACCTAACAGAGATCCCTTAATTTAATATGGCATTACAGTACTAACACTAAATGCAATATTTGAACAAAAACAGTTTTAGTATAAATATGATGATTATGTCTCAGGAATACACCGATCATCTCAACACGGTTAGACACCATACTGAATTTCACACATATGAAAACAAGACTGTGAGGCTATGCTATTCTAAGAAGTTACCGAGTTTGAGTGCTTTTTGCCCCAAATATCATACTCTTACATTTATTGAAGAGCTGTTGATATAATTACCGAGAACAAAACTGAAAATCATTAAAATGAAGTCTAAAAAAAATTGATAATTTCAGCCATTCTCGTATAAATCAGCTATATAAATCTATAACATGTCTGTCTGCCCACTTTTTCAGTGGCATTGGTTCTTTAAGTACTTTTTCCATTAATTTTCCCCTTAGGGATTAAAAAAATAATAATTGTTAAAGCATTATGAGCCATACAAGGAGAATCACAACATTACAAACGTTGATTTGAAGCAATAAAGTGAATGAAAATCAGACAATAAGACTGTGTAATTTACGTTGTAGAGCAAAACGTCCAAGTATTGTCATATTAAACTGACTACAGACCTTGTTTTCCTCATAAATTGAAAACCCCATTATAAAAACCCATCTTGCGTTGGTGAATTATAAATCTTCCAGGTTTTGACGTCACGTCCGCAGCACTCAGCTTATAGTTTGACAGTTTTAATTAGGACGGCTAAATGTAAACAAACATTGTGACCCACAATCTATGATTACAAATGATTTTCTTCTGCATACAAAGCATGAGTCCCCGGGTGCCCCTGCTGTTTATTTCTAGTCATTAGTGACAGGATCGTGACGCCCCGTCGTGCTTCTGTGTGTTAACTAATGATGGGTCATTCATTACCAGTTCATTCAGTGTGTCTGTCATGCAACAAATGAAGGAAAGACTCGAGGATGTGAACTAATCATTTGTGTTTGGCTGCATTTTAATGATCGAGTGATCAGAGATTGTGACTGCGATTGGGTGTGGTGAATTTGGCTATTGAAAGAATAACATTTGAACTTTAAAAAATGACTTGAATAAAGATGTGTTCGTTTTGCTGAACAAGATCAAGAGAGAGCGAGTGAGTGGAGTGATCTGATCTTCCTTCAGATCCTTCCTTACGTTATGCTGTGCAAGAGTTTCTGTAACTAGCACTGAATACATTTGCATGCAAATGCAAATAACAGGTCAAAAATGACTTCTGTCTGCACTGGCATTAGCTCAGCGATTGCTTATTGAGTGAAGCAACATACACTGCATTCATAGACATCCACAAGCTTTACTGTTCAGCACAAATACTGAACCACAAAACCGTACATAAATAATAATAACTCTTTTAAATGTGAAACATACTGTATTTGCAATGGTTTTGAAGCTTCATGAAGCAGTGCATCAAATGCGCCCATCACTCGCTAATAATGTGGTTTGTTTTTGTTTGATTGTTGGCAGTAAAAGCCCATTTTTTCTGAAGCCCTGCACCTTAAAATGTTTTTATACTCTGCATGCCACTCCTCCAAAATGAGCTTTTCAATAAAGAACGCACCATAGCATTTCGAAGAGTTTTAACTTGGAATGTGTTTAAACTCATTTTGAATTTGTACTAATAATGCATATTATTATTAAAATATTTGATAGAAAATCAGTTTATATACACTGCCGTTCAAAAGTTTGGGGATGAAGTCTCTTCTGCTCATCGAGGTTGCATTTATTTGATCAAAAATACAGAAAATAACAGTAATATTGTGAAACATTATTACAATTTAAAATAACAGTTTTCTATTTTAATATTCTTTAAAATGTAATTTATTCCTGTGATGGTAAAGCTGAATTTTCAGCATCGTTACTTAAGTCTTCAGTGCCACATGATGCTTCAGAAATCATTCTAATATGCTGATTTATTATCAATGTTGGAAACAGTTGAGCTACTTAATAATTTTTTGGAAGCTGTGAAACTTTTTTCAGGATTCTTTGATGAATAAAACGTTTATTCAAAATAGAAATATTTTAGTGTTTAATGTCACTTTTATCAGTTTAACATATCCTTGCTGAATAAAAGTATTAATTTCATTCAAAAAAGAGTGTACTGACCCCAAACTTTTGAACGGTCGTGTATATTGTTACAAAGGATTTCTATTTTTAATAAATGCTGTTCTTTTTAACTTTTTATTTATCAAAGAATCCTGAAAAAATATCACAGGTTCCCAAAAATATTAAGCAGCACAACATGTTTGTGTATTTGGCAATTTCAGAATTGCATCTCTGTATAAAAACACTCCACTTCTAATAAAGTCGTGTCAAATTTCAAATGGGTTGCATCACAACTCAGACTGGTTTGCAAAGCACCTTTTAGCCAGATCTGATGAGGAAAAATATCTGCTTGTTTTGCACAAGACTCTGGGTGCATCCAAGTTTTAGGAATATTTGATTAAAGTTTGCAAGGACATCAGGTGAACATATGCTTATTAATATATCCTCAGGGTCTGCAGGATGAGGTACACACGGAGCAGGAGACTCTTCAGACGGTCAAGGCTTTGCGCCGTAACACACAGGAGACCGAGGAGATGCTGAAAGAGAAGAAGACACAGCTGAAGGAAGAACTGCAGATGATCTATGACCTCCAGAAACAGGAGAGAGAAGTGGTAAGCAAATGCTTCAAAGCCTTGAATTTGATGCGGGCGGCTACAGGTTGCCAGCTCTCTTTGTCTGATTAAATAAAAGGCTGCGTTCTGAATCATTGGCAAAGTCATGCTGGCGGGACGGCCAGACAAAAGAGCACTGCAGCAGTTAGACTTAAATGCCAAGAAATTAGTTGAAAGAGCTGCTCAGTCTGTGCCTATTATGTTTCCTCTTATTTAGAGTTTCCTCTTACACAGAGATTCCAAGTTTGCTGAAGATATACGATTAGAGATTGATAATTGATTGAACAGTTGATACACTTTTCTAAATGTGTTGGGTCTCTAACAGCTTACAAGCAGCATTAAAGCACTGTGCGTTCAACAAGAAACAGCAGTGTGTTCACAGGAGATTAACTTTATTTAATGCATTTTTCTGTTTTGTCATCACGCCGGATCTAGGTCAGCGCCGCCACACGCTCGCGTCATGGTACTGTCATGAACGCGCATCCACAAGTGATGCAGTAGAGACGAAAATGCGGAATAAAGTCGTTATTTTTGTTTTCTTTCCGCAAAAAAATTATTCTCGTAGCTTGGTAACGTTACAGTTGAACCACTGATGTCACACGGACTACTTTGTCGAGTCATAAGTTATTATTACTTCTATGAGGCCTTTTTGGACTTTCTGCGCCAGAGCGCTCTCCGGCTTTGAGTATGAATGAAACAGACACTGCATGAGAGTGTTCAGCGCTCCGTAATGATCTGACACATATGTCCCGTATTCCCCAGAAAGCCATTAGTTGGCATATCAATTACTTCTCAGAAAGGACGTAGATGAGATTTGCAGTTGATTAGTACTTAAAGCTTAAGACATTATTGATGGAGTTGTAGAAGAAAGGAGACTTACTGGCTTTTGAACGGACTAACAACATGTTGTATCTACTGTAGATGCAAAACTAAAGGAGTTTTAAAGCTTCCCTGGAAGAACAACCAACACTCTCAAAAAAAAAAAAGGTACAAAAGTTGTCACTGCTGCGGTACCTTTTCAAAAGGCACACCTTTGTACCTAAAGAGTCCATATTGGATGTGCACCAAGCCCCCTGCCATTTAAAGACGATGCTTTTGATTGATTCTCTTGTTTGAATTTGCAGTGCACCATTATTTTAAGGGACTTATTATATTTTAGGGATAGGGTTTGAATTAAGGGCTATTGTCAAATGTTTATTTTTATTTTATTATCCAATTAAAATAGCTGAAACCAATTTGTAAAAAAATTTTTTTTTATTTTTATAAGTGGTTTTAGATGGCATATCAAAAATACTGACTTTCCATAATTAATGAATATACGAATTGAAATTCTAATTTGGTATACAGTTTAATGGTATACAGTCTAAATTTAGTTTTAGCTTTTTGTTTAGTTTTATAAAAAGTCTAGCTATACTACAATCCCTGTGGATCCAGAATGAAAGCATAGTTTTTAGAATCCACGGAAATCCATTAAAAAAATGTACAAAAACAAAATATGTGCATAAAGTGTCACGATACCAACATTTCAGTAGTTTATTTTTAATACCAGTAAAAATGTCACGATTCTTGATGCCAATTTGGATAGCAACAACTAGTTTGCTATTGTAAGATGTTATTAAAAACATGTTGTTTAAAGGAACACTCCACTATTTTTGAAAATAGACTCATTTTCCAACTCCCCTAGAGTTAAACAGTTGAGTTTTACCGTTTTCGAATCCATTCAGCCGATCTCCGGGTCTGGCGGTAGCACTTTTAGCTGTAGCTTAGCATAGATCATTGAATCTGATTAGACCGTTCTTTCTTGTAACATTCTTATTTGCATGTGTGATAATCATCACATTTATTTAATAAATGATTGAATTATGTGCAGCGATGTGTTAGAAAGGTGAGAAAGATCATAATTATCTTACAATAACATATATAATGTAACATATATAACATAATAAACAAAAGCTATTGAATGTCAATCATAAACATAATTACTATAAAATACAGTTACAGTGGAAGCTCAAACTCAAATTTTCATAGCAAATTGTTGCCATATGGGACTTGCATCTGTAAAAATCACAGTTTCCTATCTGGTCCCCCACCAGAGATAATCAACTCAAAATGATGGGAATTTGAAAAAATTACATGCATTCTCATCCTAAAAAATAAGAGATGTCTCAAACCTTAAAAACTGACAAGTCTAATAAAAAATGCACACTATATTTACCCAGGTCAGTTTTTGTTACAAAATTTGTATTCCATGACACGAGAGACCGCCATGGTGAAAAAAAGTAAAATAAAGTACAAAACTAGCGGATTTGCAATACAAATACTTCAAGGTAATCATGGGAAAACTAAAAATGGTCAAGCAACCTCTACTGGGCCACTTGTGGTTGATTCATTGATATTGCTCATGATTCTCCATGTGCAATCTGCAAACTTGCTTACGCTGCGTAAATGTAATGTGATGGTTTTTATTTTATTTGTTAATTTTTATTTCCTTTTTTGACCAGGTTAAAAACAACCTGGCTGAGCTGGTTGCTGGCCTTATAACTGGTGAAAGTTCAGTGGCTGAGATGACAGAAGCAGCTCATTGTGTCGTTTTGAGCCAGGAGTTGGAAGCACATGTGGATGTTGTCGAAAGTGAGTGTGATCATGTCCTCAGTGAGAAGATCACGTCCAAAGAGGAACGAGAGGACGTGAATGACGTTGAGCAGGAGAACACTGTAGAGGAGCTTGATAAAATGCAGTGTTCAATGGAGAACTTGGTATGTCCATTAGCATTCACATGTAATGCATGTAATTTGTTACTAGTTTGTTGAACTCACGATGTGTTACTGATTACAGAAGAGCAGTGGCTCGTCATCTTTCACTGAGATCACACTGACAGAGGTCAAAGAGGAGGATGTTATGTTCAGATCAACCACTCCACAGGTCGGACACACTTGCACCGTGTTACATGTTGTTTTGCATCGTTGTAGGATGTGTTCAGTCATTTTTACTTACAGCTAACTGCTTGTTCATATTCAGCTCTGTTGATTGCCTAAAAAGTGCATTGCTTGTTGCTGAATGTACTTTTTTGACTGCACTAAAGCATAAAATACCATATATTCTTGACTGTAAAATACCATATTATGTTTGCAGTTATTTAGGAAACATGCTAAGTTCACATACTTGTTTCTACAAGAAAAAAAAAAAAAAGCCAGTTATTCTACTTTGAAATGTGTTCTGTGTCGGAATGTCTGTTTTTGTTTTGGTCCATGTGACTCCGCCCACTGCCAGTTTACCCAATAGTATTTCAACACCCTGGCTTGCCAGTTAGCAGAAGACCATGGAAGCCAGCAAATTAACTGGGTCAGTGATTACAGATTATACCCGACCTAAAAAGCCTCGGCATTCATCTAAAAAGCTCTATGACCAGAGCCATATTTAAAGTGGATAAATCAACTCAGCAACTTACAGTTGCTGTCAGGCTCATTGCCTTCCATTGTCAGCTGCGCTCTTTCCTTGTTGCATCTGGCAACCCGCCGAGTCTAAGGAGGAGGGGCAGGAAAAACATCTCTCTCCAATATGGTTCATTCGGACTGCAGTACCAATTTCAGCCTCTAGCTGCCAATATTACATACTGCACCTTTAATTTGATCTAACTGCAGTCTGCATTCACACACTGGGTTTCAGACCTCCTGAGCACTGATGTGTTCCCATTGTAGGAAACTCAACGCTGCATAATGAAACAAACACTGTGCATTCAATTGCTTATTTTTTCTTTCTTCAAACAGTCTGACTCTTCTGACATGGAGAAGGAAGACTTTGAGATCATTCAACCCAGTCAGGCGACAAACAGACAGTTTGACTTCTTCCATCCAAACCCCTTCACTGATGGTGAGTGACTTATGGCATGATTGTGTTTGGATTGTATATTTACATGTGACTCACAACTTATTTTTTTGCTAATTTCCAGGTGATGTATTTGGAGATGACCATTTTCCAAAGGTTGATGTGACAGGTTGGTAACTTTCTGTTTACAACCTTACCTTATTTAGCCTGTAATGGTGTATAAACATTCTTGAACATTAAACTAGAACAGGTTGCATGCTGTGTTTGTCCAATATCGCAAATATGCAAATAAAAACCCGGGGTTTACCGTGTGGAATTTTGAAACCTGAATACCCAAGATTAGTTTCTAACCAAGGGAAAAGTTTGAACATTGTTAATCAAAAATAACCCAGGATTATGTTAACCTGTGGTTTATAATGACCCCAGATTAAAGGGAAAGTTCACCTAAAAATGAAAATTTGCTGTTAATTTACTTATCCTCAGGCCATCCAAGATGTAGGTGATTTTTTCTTCAGTAGAACAGTAAAGAAGATTTTTAGCTGATATTGTGGTCATTGGTGATTCATAAAATGCAAGTCAGTGGCTACAAGCATTTGGAGTGTAAAAAAAAAAAAAAAGCATATCAGGCAGCACAAAATTAATACCTGTGGCGCTTGATGATATATTGAGGTTTTATGAAGCATGTACATATCAGCGGCTCATCAGTTCTTCAATTTGAGTCTAAACTGTTTATTGAACTGTTTATATGCTGGTATTTTGGCTCATTTTGAAAGTGAGTTGTGATTGAATAACTTGTAGATCTGTGCTGCTCGAGCCACAAAGTGTTTCAGATTCATTCCCGAACTGGACCATTTGTTTGAGCCTCTGGATTACAGATAATAATGTTGTAAATAATGTTCTGTCTCTTGCACAGACTGATCGTTTTGCTTCATAAGACCTTAATATATTGTCAGGTGCCACGAGTATTTTGTGTTGCCTGATTTGCTTTTTTTTTAACTCTAAAATTGATACAGTCACTTTTAGAGTAAAAAAAAAAAGCACATCAGACCATTGACTTGCATTTTATGAATCACCAAGGACCACGGTTTCGGCTAAAAATCTAAAAAAAAAACTGTTTTGCTGAAGAATGAAATCTACATCTTTTGCATGGCCTGAGGGTGAGTAAACAGCCAGTTTTCATTTTTGGGTCAACTATCCCAAAGTCTACACAGGGATATCTGCATGAGAGCATGTTTGATCATTACCTCAGTTTGTTCGGCTGTAGAACTGCATGGTAATACAATTCAACATTTAAAAAAATCACACTAGACAGCTACTTCTCGAAAAATATGGCTTGTTACTGGAAAAGTTACACTGATTTGAAAGAACTTAGTTGCTGATAAATGTGAACGTGGACCACAAAACCAGTCATAAGGGTCCATTTTTTTAAATTGAGATTTATACACCATCTCAAAGATGAATAAATAAGCTTTCAATTGATGTATGGTTTGTTAGGATCAGACAATATTTGGCCGAGATACAACTATTTGAAAATCTGGAATCTGAGGGTGCAAAAAAATCAAAATATTGAGAAAATCGCCTTTAAAGTTGTCCAAATGAAGTTCTTAGCCATGCATAAAAATATCTCCATGGAACATGATCTTTACTTAATGTCCTAATGATTTTTGGCATAAAAGAAAAACAATAATTTTGACCCATACAATGTATTTTTGGCTATTGCTACAAATATACCCCAGCGACTTAAGACTGCTTTTGTGGTCCAGGGTCACAAATGTGTATACTGTAAGTTTGTAGCGCTGCTACCTTTAGTTAGCCATTCCCAACACAGAAATGCACTAGATACAGAGGACAAGAGGTAGTCAATCCATTGTAAGACTATTGTTACTAATATGGTGCTGTTTTCTCTCAGAGCAATTACCCAGGGACCCGTTTAAAGGCACAGACCCTTTTGCCTCTGACGCTCTCTTGGTTAACATGTCAGAAGAAAAGGATGGTCAGGATGACTTCATCCCTGCAGAGAACAGTCTTCCAGAAACTGTACACTACCCTCTCCAATCCGTCGTTAAAGACTACGGTACCTTTAACGCTCCCATCAACAGGCCACAGTCCACTGGATGCAGGAGTCTCAAATCTGGCAGCGATGTAGATTCTGAGTGTGGGACAAACGCCACACCAGGCCAAAATGGTGATGCTGTGAAACCAGATCTATCAAACGAAGCTTTGAGTCCTCAGTTCGATGAAGAGTGGGTCCATGAATCAGATTCTAGTCACAGTTCTACTGTGTTTAATTCCATTGATGCCGATTCCAATGTATTCGCTGAAGAGGAGGAGGACAGGGTTGACGTTCAGACTGGATCCGGTTTAATTAAAAGAGCTAACTCACTGTGTGGTCTACAGAGCATCATTGCAGGTTCTTATACTGGGTTTCCTCTAAGTCCATGTGACCCTGATCCACTCCCAGGCGATTTCCAGAAGACCTTTGAACATCATATTACCACTTCTGAACAAAATGCTGCGAATGCCGAAGAACTCGGAAATACTGAGAGTTTATCTCCAGATAACAGTACAGGTCCTCTGTGTGAACAGCTGCATGATATAAATAGTAATCCCTCTAGCTCTCCTTCCATTTCTCCTTCTCAACCTTCTGCTTTAGACGAATGCGACTACAAATATGGAGATATGTTCTTCTTCACTGTGAGATTAGATCCTGGTAGCCCTGAACTACATAATCAAAGTCCGGCTTGTCCTGAGCCCAAAGATGAGTCCCACGGCCAAATGCATTGGAAGGACGCCTCTTTGAGCCCTGAATTCAATGATATAGATGAATTTGAATGTTCCAGTCCAAAGCCTGAAGACATAGAACAACAAAACCAGATCACCAATGACCAGAACACAGTGGAGCTGGAGATCGTGACAAGCAGTGACCCTCCTAAGCATGATGAGATATTAGTGCCTGATTGTGAAAAGGAGGTTTTAGATATTCCAAGTCTTACATTTGAGGATTCAAATGCTTGCCAAAGTGTGCTTGATTCAGAGTGGAATGACCAATGGACGGCAAATCCAGATGTAGTTGAACCTGTTCCTGATTCATCCATCCTGGACACAGAAAGCAATCCGTCTAATTCTACATCTCAAGACCTCTTTTGTCTGTTCAGTAACACAGAAACATCAGCTACTGACCGGTTTTATGCCCATGAGCAACTCAGCCCTGAATCCAGTAGCTCACAATACAAACCTTCATCCTCTGAAGGCTTGGTCATGAGTAAACTTGAACTCCAGTATTTTGACCCATTTAGTCCCATACCTGCTGAGCCGGTCGAAGGCGTATCTGACTTAGAAGAAATGAACACTGTTAACTCGTTCTGTCATGAAGCTCCAAGACTAGATTCTGGTTATCATGAAGTTGGTACTCCTACTCCTTTTAGTCCAGAACCTGCTGACAAAACCAAATGTAGCATTGATCTTCAAGGCCTAGGTTTGGAAGCCAGAAAGCAGAGCAACTCTGAAATCCACGTCCCTGATCCATTTAGCCCCGAATCAGTCGATACAGGGATATTTGACTCGGAAACGGAAAACTGTGAGTCTGGTTGTATGATTACGACATGTCAACTCTTAAGTCCTCAACCACTTTACACAGATTTAAATAATCTGGAGGAGAAGCCGATATCCGTGTCCTGTGACGTGCTAAGTGATCATCTCAGTGATTGTTACCCCTTTGGTTCTTGCCCATCTAATGAAGAGAGCTATGCTTACAGTAATGAAGAAAAAATCATCGAACCAATCCGAGAAGGATCTGATGCTTCGCGAGAATCCAAACCTAGCTCAATAGTGTCAAATGCTAGTGATTCTTCTCAAGTATTTCACTGTGGTTCGGTGTGGGGAACCTCTGAAATGAGCTTTCCCAACACTGAAGTGCTCGACCCAATGAAAAACAACATTTTTGATTTTAATACAATGGATGTTGGATCATTTGTGTCTGACGTAAGCCAACAAGTTGAAGAGGCTACACATGGTGCTGGAAAAGTACTGAAAAACACAGACCTGACTGAAATGGACTATTTCTGTTCTGAGCTCAGTAAAATGGTATCCTCAAGTTCATCTGATTCTGTTCAACAGAGCGTGGCTGAGATGTTATTCGGCGCTGATCCAAACACCTCAAGCTTTTACCCCTGGGATTTTGAAAAGCCACAACACAGTTGTTAGTTTTCACACCCATTGTGCTTTAATCGGTCTCATTAAATCACGGTTGCATTTTCACATGACTTTTCCATTGTTATATGGGGAAAAAATAAGTGTCTAAGTGTAAACGATTGTAAATGTCAAAGTGTCTAAACTTCATGTGACTCACTTTTGTAGTTGCATTTCTAATTGTTGTTTGGTTATGTAGTGTTTCCATTATTGTATTTATTTATTTATTTTCAAATGCCAATTATAACCAAATGCTAACTGCTTATATGTAGCATAATAAATATGTAACATTTTAAAATTCCTCTGCTGGATTTTGGAGTTATGTCCATTCAACATGAATGCTGAGATTATTTTAACTAAATGCATTTGGAAGAAATATTATTACAATGCACTGCATGTATCTTATATGTGTATACAGATAAGTAATATTTATCAAAAAAATAATTTTTAGTAAATGAACAGATGTGGAACAAGACAAGACTTCCAAGTTATTTATTTATTTATTATTTGGCTTAGATTTGACCTTAGATCTAATATTTTAGTTACGTTATGTGAAAAGTTTACGGAGATATTTGTATGTTGTTCTCAAGCAACTGCACCTTAAGATGATTTTCCTCAAAACACGTGAAGAAACATTGCTGCATGCTTGATATTAAAAATCACTTATGACTTCAAAATGCTTACAGTATTACTAACCTCCACACAGTTCATCAAACATGCAGTTTCATCAAATGTTATGCATAAGGCAGAGGTCAGGGAACTGTTCTGTCAAATGAAGTCCAAGCCATAATTTTGCCATTTACAGTGTGATAAACAGAGACTTTACCATGGCTAAATGAGCTTACTCTAATCTGAAAAGGTCGCTCTTAAATTCAGTCATACAGAAACAACATTTTATCAAAACAGCTACAGTAAAACTGCACAATATGCACTACAGTAGTATAAATGACATTAAAGTGTGCATTAAGTTTGTGAGTTTGTAAATAATATAAAAGCATTTTGAGATTTGAGAAGTGGCCTGCATCTCCTGAGATGCATCTAAGCCACCTGCATACATGGCATCCCCGTTGTTGAAAAAAAATGACAAAAAGCATCCTCTCTGTAAAACCACCATCCCCTTTAGAGATGTGCAAATTAAATATTAATATTCTCTAAGGATAATAATTTATAAACTAAATAATGGCGATTGGCCAATCAGAGCTCAGTATTGTAAGGTCCACGCACTTGGCCCAAGGAAGGTATCCAGTGGTGGATGAAGGTCACTTGCGTGTTCGGTCTTTTCAGCGCGCAGTTATTCAATTTAGGTTTAACTCAAATCTGACTATTTTATTATCTAATCTGACTCCATTTTAGTATTACCTCGAATTTAGGTTGAAAGGCAAATTGGTTGTTTGTCGGTCTCTAATTATTCTGACATTTGATTATTCTAGTTAACTCTTTACTTTGTATTTTACTCGTTCATTAGGAATTTATGTCGTTTTTAGGATGCCTCACGGCGGCCGCCATGCGTGGGCTCCACGATCACAAAACTCGCCAGTCTGAACCTTATTCAGAGGTTTGTGGCTAATACTATTTAATATACCTTAAATAGTAGGTCTGTTTAGCCCCCTACAGTTACCCATGTAATATCAAAGTATCTGAGTTTCTTTTATCCTTACAGTATTAACGAGCTCACGCATGTTTTCATCATTTTTCGCGCAAAATGTTTCAAGCGTAACTTCTGACAATCTTTAAGAAGACGACAACATAATAAGGTATGATATTTCCTTGATTGGAGTTTAAAGACATTACCCTGACATAACGTTATTGTGCTGCTGTACTATGTGCACTAGAGCCCAGCACGGGCCTCAAATCTAGGCCCTAGCCCGGCCCTTGTCCGACAGCTTATCAGAATTCTCGGCCCAAGTCCCGACTGGAGCCTGTGTCTTTTTTCTCTCTCTCGCTTCCCCATTACACAACTGCTGTTGCAGCCATTAAAATAGTTCAGTTTTGTTTTTAATGACAAAGTGGTTATATTTCTCAAATCATCACGACTTGCCAAAAATAAAATCTATAGATATAAAACACTTCAAGCATATCACAATGTTAGTTTAAACGTTTAACCTAAAAATGTGTGCTATTAGGCACATATCCAAACGTTTGTGCAGAGAGTGGAAGCTAAAGAAGATGTTCTATCAAAATAGGAAGCTTTATCTCATCTTTAGGCAATTAAACCTGCGGTGTGCCTCAGGGTTCTGTTTTAGTACCTGCCCTTTTCTCTCTTGATCTACTTCCTCTGGGGTCTATTTTTAGGAAACATGGTATTTCCTTTCACTGTTACGCCGATGATATGCAATTTTACTTGCCTGTGACTAGGAAAAATAAGTGTGCCCTTAATACCCTATCAGCGTGTCTTGATGGTGTCAAATCATGGCTTTCCAAACATTTTCTCAGACTCCAGGGCAAGTAATCAACTTGACCTTGAGCCTCTCAATTCCTTACATCTCGGCTGTATTATTGCAACTTCCTCTATTACAGCATGTCAAAGACCCAAATCTCTCAGCTACAAGTAGTTCAAAATGCAGCAGCTAGATTTCTGAAGCGATGTAACAATTTGATCATGTCACTCCCCTTTTGAGATTTTTACATTGGCTGCCGATTCACTATAGAATCGAGTTTAAAATCTTGCTACTTGTCTACAAACCATTAATCAAGCACCTTCTTATTTGACAAACTCACTCCATCCCTACACTCCTGCGAGAGGACTAAGATCGGAGGGCAAATTTCTAAAGAATGAACTTGCCGTTTAGGAGCACGGTTTCAGCTAAAAATCTTCTTTACTGTTCTACTGAAGAAAAAAGTCACCTACATCTTGGATGGCCTGAGGATGAGTAAATTAACATCAAATTTTCATTTTGGAGTGAACTATTCCTTCAAGTCTATAATGGTGGCAAAATAATTTAAGGTAACACTTTATGGACAAATTCTCACTATTAACTAGTTGCTTATTAGCATGCCTATTATAAACATATCAGCTATTTATTAGTACTTATAAAGCACATATTCTGCATGACCATATTCTACATCCCTAATCCTACCCAATACCTAAACTTAACAACTACTAATACCTTGGTGGTGAAGCAGCAAGTTGCATGGAAATGCACTCTTGAATGCTTGAAACATTTCTGTTTACTTCAATGACAGTTCCTGATCAAACTTCATGTTTCAATATAATTTTGTTTTGCTGGATATCAACCCAGGAAAGACAAATGCATTCATCAAGACATTTAATGAGTTTAAATAAATTAGATTTGTTTGGTTTTTTTTCTAAATGAATTAAGATAACCCACTTATGCAGCACCAACATAAGTGGGTAACACTTTAGTTTAAGGACCAATTCTCACTATTAACTAGTAGCTTATTTGCATGCATATTACTAGCATACTGGCTATGTGTATTAGTACTTATAAAGCACATATTAATGCCTTATTCTGCATGACCATATTTTAGATCCCTTAATCCTACAATACCTGAACTTAACAACTACCTTACTATTAATAAACAGCAAATTAGGAGTTTATTGAGGCAAATTCCATAGTCAATAGTTTGTTAATAGCGAGAACTGGACCGTAAAATTAAGTGTGACCGAATTTAAATTGGTTTTTGCAAATGCATGAAGAACATCAGAACTGTGCAATACCATAGTTTTATTATTAGTTTACAGTGTCATGGTGTATACATGTAGGAGCAGCCGCTCTATGGCTTATACATTCCATGGAAGGTGACTGGAGACATGATGTCAACTTCCGCTCTTGCAATCTCAGACAGGTCCTTAGCATTCAAGATCAGGCAACATGTAGGTCTCTGGGCTCCAGGCGACACCACAATCGTCATTATGACACCTGTTAAGCAGTGAAGCATTACAGAGGTTACATTAGACAATCTACTATAAGTACCTTTGCAACTGCATGTCAACAAACTCTCAGAGTATCAGTAGACTGTTAGGTTAGGGTTAGTTGACATTGCAAAGTTGACGTTCAGTTGAATGCGTGTTGAGGACAGATATTAAGTAGATAGTCTACTAATACTCTAAATACTAGTTGATATGTAGTTGCAGAGTTACTTATAGGCAGTTGAATGTGTGTTGGGGAACATCAAAATAAAGTGTAACTCAAAATACAAGCTAGACACCAAATATTTGGCAAATTTATGGCTAGTGTCACCCACCATCATCCTCATCCACTCCATCAGGGTGCTGCACAAACAGAGGTTCTGAAGGGTACGAGTCCGGCTCCTGCCAGACCCAGGTCTCCTTAGTCTTCACATTCAGCTTGCAAATCTACAAATCATCAAAAACAGCCTAAAAAACACATTCTTTAAAGGGATAGTTCACCTTCAGTTGCTGGTCACCCATTGACTTCCATAGTATGGAAAAAAACTGGGGACCAGCAACTGAAGGTGAACTATCCCTTTAACACTTGTTATAAAATCCTGACCAGATGACGTGATTATTCATACCCTGTCAGGGATAAAGTGGTTGAGACCCAGCGCATAGGCGTATGTGTAATTCTTTCCGTTGTTCATTTTGTAGTTGATCTGAGGAAACTCGAATGCTTTGAGATTTAAAACATATGATAGAAACGAGTCATAAAACATCACCTTGAGTTTTTCCGTCCAGCTTTATTTGAGCTGCATCTTAAACCAAAAGGTATCAATGACACAAAAGGTGTCATAACAATAAATAAATAGAAAGTTTGTCGTACCTTGTCGTGGACCGGAGAAAAGCACCTCAGGCTCGAGCCAAATGGTCCCATCAGCCCGCATTGTGGCTGTGGCTGTGGTGTACGGCAGGCAGACCAGATTCTTGCCCTGCTCCTCCTATAAGAACTCAGTGTTAAAGATCGATCTTGGGGACACTTAATATCCAGCGATATCGTCGACTTGATTGCACAGATACTATTTAAACTGAACTGAGCTGGATGATGACATCACTGAATTCAATGGTGAACTGCCTTTAACTGAAAATTGAGTGTTTACTATTGTCATTTTGCATTATTGACACAATATGTTCCTATTTAATACTGTAAAGTTGCTTTGACACAATCTGTATTGTTAAAAGCGCTATATAAATAAAGGTGACTTGACTTGAAGCATCGGGATTTTACATACAGCAAAAAAAAAAAAAATCCAAAATATTTTA